GTGGCCAGGAGCAGACTTGCAGAATGTGCCCTTTGGAGATGTAAATTATTATATATGCCTGAGTGGGTTTTTTAAAAAGTTAAAGTGGATAGAGAGAAATACTGTGAACTGATGGTACATGGAGGGGATTATAATTAATGTAATGAAACAATATATATGATTTGTTGAATGTAAAACTGATGATGTGCCCTGTAAACTTTCACTCAATCCACAATAAAAACCGTAAATAAAAAAAAACAAAAAAAAACAAACAAAATGGACTGGCCCAAAGAAAGTGCCGGATGGTTCAATCACTCACATACCAAACACAGGTAAATAATGGATGTAAGAGAAAGTAAAATGAAAATAATATCTTTATTCTCATTGTTTAGTGCTCCAGGAACTACTTTCAGAGCAGATACTTGAGGCTTGAGATGGAAATTCATCAATGGCATGGACTATCAAGTTTGGAATTAGAAGCATTGGCCACTTTTATTTTTGACTCTAGATACTTCTAGACATCCAGATTCCGGCTGCCTCTAGTTTTTGAACTTGCACACAAAAGAGAACTCGTCATCACATTTTTTATCATTCCATTGCTGGTAATCTGTAAGCCAATGAGAGGGGTCAGAGAAAGATCAAGGGAGAAGTTATAGTATGTATTGACCCCAAGTCTTAGAACAGCAAGCATGAAAAAATAAAAACTGATTTCCTGGAGAAAAGTTCATTTCTCCCAATCCCTGATCTCTTTAGCCATCTTCAGAATTCGAGAAGAGAATGGTAGTAGATGGGAACTCTGAATCTCACCTGAGTTTGAGGTCAGGCTCACACAGTAGCCGGGGCATTCAGTGCTTGGGGCTCCAACTATCCAGAATTTGTATAACACCAGAGATCCACTGCTCCAGCGCCAGCGACGGTTCTAGAACGGATAGAACCAGAAAGGAGTTAGCATTCCCAAAGAGAGATGGAAATATTAGGCCTATGTGCACATTCAGGATTGGGTAAAGGCAAAGAAAAATAACAAAATCTGATGCCCCTGCACACATGACCTTTAATTGCTTCCATTTCTACTCTAACTTCCCCCTTCTCACATCCTTGTTGTTGTTAAGTGCTGTGGAGTCAGTTCCTACTCATAGTAACTCTGTATAGTGTTTCTAGGGAAGTGCCAATGAGTTTGAGCTGCCAACCGTGTGGTTCAAATTGGCCTTGCGGTCCAGTACTTTATCCTACAGCACCACACCAGGTCCAATGTCCTGTCCAATAATAAAGGTGCTAAACTTGACACAGAGCCTCAAAATAGCATATCATAAAAAGGAATGTAGGATTTTCTTTAAAGAGTCTCCATAACCCACAAATTTGAACACACTATTGACTGCTCATTAGCTCTTGATATGTTATAAATATCAGCAGTAGACTGTCTTTCTCTGGTCTCTTTTCCTCTAGAGTCAGCAAAGGACTCTCTTGTAACACAGAGTATAACAAGATTCTGTAAGAGCTACTTTGTTGTAAGTAGATAGAACGGCATATCATGAATCCCAATGACATTCAAAAAAATCAGCTTCCAACTGATCTCTATTATCTACAGATTGAATATGAAGACAGCATACATTGTAAAGCAAAGAGAGTATTATTTTTTCTTTTACAGGCAAAAATTATAAAAGTGGGGCTATTGGGTATGTGACCTTGGGCTACCCTTGTCTCTCACAAATCTGTGAATTAGAAAAGGAAATTGTCAGAACTCACCTTTTTAGGGTCATGGAGGCCAATCCAGACATCGGTGTCATCAGTGCCACTCTCCTTGATCAGAGAAGCCACAAAAGTGCCCTCAGCCTTGTTGAGCACCGATACCAGGTGGCCCGAATGCATGTTCTGGCAAAGGAGCTGTTAGAGATGAAAGAAGAGAATAGTACTCACTGGTGGGCCAGGGAGAAGACATTGAAGGCAATATTGGAATATTTGAACTCTCCTTGGATTGTGTAGAATGAACGTACAACATGGAGGGTAAGGATATGGGACAGGTGAGAGGATGTTTAGACAGTCACTCTCATCTCACTGAGGCCAAAGAAGACACTGAAAATTAAATTAAATCACAAATAAAAGGCTACTTTCATGTCCATGTGCCTCCCAAGGGTTGTTCCCATACTGTCATCCTCACTCACTTCCGCATCAGCCCAGGTCTCATGATCTTGGATAAAGAAATAGCAATAGGAGCCATAAGCATTGGTGCCTTCTGGGCAGCTATTCCGGGCAGAGGGCAGTTCTGTCTGGATCTCAAGACCTACAAAATAATGATTAGAAAGGGGAATCACAGGACAGGGTGAAAACTGGTATGTGAGGGAGCATCCAGGAGGTTCCATTATAGGAAAATACAGATAGATGCATGATTGGCACACTCATCACTCACTCCTTCCCTGCTACACCTTTGCTCTTCTCTATCAGGCTTCCTTTGCTCGAGACCGTCTCACCAATTGAACGAAGTTAGTGAATTGTGTCCCATATTCCCCTTCAGCTTTCTTGCCCCTTTCTCATCTTTAGGTGTTAAACTTTGTCCCTTGTTAAGCTTAATTTGGCCTCTGATGAATGAATCATTCTCCACACTTCTCCATCATATTGCTGAATTTTTCCTTACTACCATACTGCTATCTGGTTAAAATGTAATCATACTTAAAATTTCAACCTTAATGGTCAAGAGCAAAATGTACTTTTGAATTCCATCCAAATTCCCTATTAAATGACGCTATATCAGGAGAATTGGTGGTGGTTATGTGCCGTGGAGTCAGTTCTAACTCATAGTGACCCTGTGCAGGATTTCTGAGGCTGTAAATCTTTATGGAACAGAAAACCTCATCTGTCTCCCATGGAAGAGCTGGTAGTTTCAAACTGCTAACCTTGAGGTTCACAGCCCGAATCGTAACCACTACACTACCAAAGCTCCTGGTGGTGGTGGTGGCTATGTGCTGTGGAGTCGATTCCGACTCATAGAGACCCTATACAGGGTTTCCAAGGCTGTGAATCTTTACAGGAACAGAACCTCCTCATTTTTCTCCTGCAGAACAGCTGGTAGTTTCTAACTGAGGACCTTGTGGTTCAGAGGCCGATTCATAACCACCACCCTACCAAAGCGCCTAGAAGAGCATAAAACATCAACAAACAACACTAAGCAGCCACCCATTTTCATCTTTTTCCAAGAAGATAATTATGCATGTGGAAGGGGTAAGGGCTTAAGGACTGGGAGAATGTAATAAAGTACACACCTTGACTCAAATACAGGAACATGAAGCAAAAGCTGAGAATCAAGCATGAGTTAGTGCATGCCATGCTGAGTAGTAGTAAGTCTCTTACTGAAGGAGCAAATCTGCAATCTCTGTAGAAGCACAAAAAAGAAATATTTTAGAAGTGGAGAGAAGAGCTTTCTGTACCTTTTTTGTTGTTGTTGTTAAGTGCTGTTGAGTCGATTCTGACCCATAGCAACCCTGCATAGGGTTTCCAAGGAGCAGCTGGTGAACGTGAACCACCGACCTTACAGTTCAAATGACTTTGCTGTCTGATGCATTAGCCCCCAGCTCCACACCAGGATTACAGCCCCCTTTTTCTAAGTTCTTTTGCCAAACTGCCTCTCTGTGACACCAACAACCATAAAATATTTCTCTTGAGAGTCTACATATTTTATGGGTCTCAGTGCCCAAAGGCAGATTTGTTTCCTGGGGAGGTTATCAATACTGCTGGAATCTCAGGCACAGAAAACCACCCTCCAGTTTTTCTCTAAGTGTGAAGACAACAGTCTGAGTCAAGGTACAATCCTCCTATACCAAATGCTCACCCCACTGGCTGCTTCTGGAATGCCTGTCAGATCAGGCAGTACCCAGGCCTTTATAACAGAATCTGAGTGAGGACTCCTAGCAAGTAAACAAGGGGATGGCCAAGGGAACAAGGTCAGGGACCCCAGAGAGGTAACTGAAGCTACTGACTGTACAAATTCCCGGCATCCAAGGGGTCTATTCCTGGTACACAATGGGAAGGATCACAGATAAAGCCTCTTCCAGGAAACAAGGTTGCAATCTGTCCAAGGTAAAGGCTTGCTTTTGCCCTTTCCACAGGTGTATCCAGATGGCCAACTCCCATGGCCCTGAACAACCAAATAAGAATCAAAGATCTCTAGGAATCATGAGGGTTGCTGAGAAGAAGAGAGCAAAGCAAGAAGCTGCAAGGAGAATTTGAATCAAAAGTAAGGTAACTTGTGAAGTAAGGGACTAAGAGCAGGAAGCTAAGATGTGTGGTGTCCCTGCATGGAGAAGAGGAAAAAGGGGGAGGCACAAGGAATATAATTTCCTGAGTAGACCTCCTTTTCTGCTCATGAGTCTCTGTAGAAAGAACAAAGATGCTGCCTTACCCCTTACTGACCCACATTTAATAAATAGATTGAAATGTACGACTCCTGGTGTGGCAGTGTAGGATAAGCAGACTACAAAGTCAATTTGAAAAACAAGGTCAGCAGTTCAAATTCTAGAACCACTCCTTTGAATCCTTATACAGGGTCTTTCTGAGTCAGAGACATCTTGACGGCAGTTAACAACAATACCACATCAGAACTGGTGTCAGATGGTGGCGATCATGATAATTGATTATGTTAACAAACTTTTAACATTAACACCTATATGTTTATAGGTATAAGGAGCTCTGGTAGCGTAGTGGTTACGAGTCGGTCTGTGAACCGCAAGTTCAGCAGTTTGAAACTACCAGCTGTTCTGTGGGAAAAAGATGAGGCTTTCTGCTCCCGTAAAGATTGACAGCCTCGGAAACCCTGTACAGGATCGCTATGAGTCAGAACCAACTCCATGGCACATAGCCACCACGTATATGTTTGCATTGTTTCCTGAACTTGCTTTTGACAATTAAAGCCTAAACTGTAATTCCCTATATACTTGTGCAATTGCATCCACATCATTTTCTAGACTAGATTATTTAAATATATCATCTCATAATTAAAAGACAAAAAAGCAGTTCTTTTATTTAAGCTTTTTCTATTATATGATATATTTTAAGGGCTGTAAATATGCCCACGCAATTATTCTCATCACTGTGTATATGAAGTAGGTGCTACAGATGACAAAACTCAGACACAGTAACATAACACAATAAGTACACAGCAATTGGTGGCATAATGTGAACAGAGTGTGTATATGGCTGGAGACTCCATGCTCTTCATCTGTCTGCTGATTGTCTACCTTGTAAAATATATAAATATATGACACATCTAGAAAGCACAGATGTTGTCAACAGTTAGGATCCTATATTGTGTGATTCTCCTCCTTATCAAGAGATGGATGTTCACAGAATTTGAGTGACTTAACCACTATCAAAGAGTGGAGGGAAAGTTAAAATCCAGATATACCTCCTAACTTCCACAGCTCTGCCCTGTCCATTCTCTGAAGGTACTAAAAGCTTTATTGCTCTCTCACTATTTAGACTACACAACTAATCTATAGTCAGGTCCCCAAATTGAAGCCCTGGTGTTCTTGTTGGTAGTCACAGTGGAATGAGCTCTGCTTCACAGTGACCTTATGTACAACAACACAAAATGTCGCTCAGTACTGGGCCATCTGCATTACTATTGGTGTCTTTGAGTCAATTGTTCTGGCGATTGCTTCAGTCCATACACTGCCAGTTTGACTTACTACTGATCATCTACAAAACATGATATTCTTTTCTAGAAATTGTATTTTCCTTATGACATTCCAAAGCTGGCATCTTTGGAATGGAGCGTTCTAGTTGCATTTCTTCTAAGAGGGCTGTTTGTTTGAGAGTATATGTAATATTATTCTACACACTAAAATTTGAGTACATAAACTCTTCTGAAAACCATTTACATTATCCATCTTTCAAAGCATATGAGGGTGTTGAAAGACCATTCCTTATGTTAGGAACATCTCAGTTACCAAAAAGTGACATCTTTGATTTATAAAATATTAAAGTGGTCTTTACTTGTAGATTAGACCACCAAGCCATGTCTCAGAGTCCTTGTGTGGTTCTGTGGGTTAATGTGTCAGACTACAAAGTCATTCTGAACTGTAAAGTAGGTAGTTCAAGCTCACCAGTTGCTCCTCAGAAATCGTAACAGGGTCACTATGGGTCAGAACCTACTCAATGGCACTTTACAATAACAATAACAACTGGTAGATTAATCCAATGCAATGCTGTTGTCCTTAGGTACCATTGAGTCAGTACTGACTCATAGCTATCCTATAAACAACAGAACAAAACAGTGCCCTGTCCTGTGCCAACCTCACAATCGTTGCTACACTTGAGCCCACTGCTGCTGCCACTGTGCCAGTCCATCTCATTAGGGGTTTTCCTCTTTTTTACTGACCCTGCACTTTACCAAGAATGATGTCTTTGTCCTTTTATTTGAAAGACTGTATATTCCTGAGTGTTTTGGTGCACATCCAAAAAAACAAAGAAACAGAGGGAATATAAGCAAATACTGTTGAATGATGAAGCATGCAACAGATTTTAATCATTGCAATGAAACAAAAATGACAAGATGAGTGTAAAACTGATGTTCCCCATGTAAACTATAACTCAATTCACAATAAAACTTTCAAAAAAAGAATGATGTCCTTCTCCAGATACTAGTACCTCCTGATGATATGTCCAAGTTATGAGAGATGAAGGATCTCCATCCCGGCTTCTAAGGAGCATCTGGCCGTACACAGATTTGTTTGTTCTTTTGGAAGTCCATGATGCTTTTAATAGTCTCTTCCAATATCATAATTCAAATTAATCAATTCTTCTAAGGTCTTGTCTATTCTTTGTACAATTTTCACATGCATATGAGATTATGCATACCAATGCAATGCATAATTTAATTTCTTGGCAATTGTATCCATGGATGTTGATTACTGATCAAGGTAGACTGAAATTGACAACTTCAGTTTCTCATTCATTTCTCATGATTTTGGTCATCAGTGGATGACTAATTCATACTGATTTTTTAAGTACTTGACAGTGAGGTACTGGACATGCATTTCTCTTTTTTTGTAAATAATGACTTAGAAAGAACTTTATTTATTTTAGCTGAGAACACAAAGAAGAGATGTTTTACGCAGTATCCACGAGATTCTGCAAGTTTACAAGTGACAAAGCCATATTTTGAAAGCAAATACTCTGATTTTGGGTATTGTGTTCTCAAGCAATATGTCATGATGAATTTTATTATTTATGAGACCACACATATAAAATAAAAAGAAATGAAAAATGAGAGAATGGTAATTAGATAACAGAGAAGGAGACTGCTGTGCTGTGTAGAGACACAGGTCTTAAAGTTCCTGAATCATATTTTCTTTCTTCAACTCAGTGCTGTTTACAAACCTATTTATTAATACCTCTTCTTTACACAACATGAGTATAACTTAAGAATATATATGAAATAATGTCTCCATATCTCCTGACCATACTTTTATAGACAAAAAAGCAATAAAGTAGATGCAGAAAGGCACTTGCTTAATGAGGTTAGAATAGCTATAATATAATAATCCAAAGTGTAGGCAGATTATTATTCATGGTTTTATGTTTATTTGAATAGTATGTATATGCCTATGTATAAATAGTATGTGCATATATTTGCACTGGTGTGGTTCTGTGGGTTAATGAGCCAGACTGCAAAGTCATTTGAACCAGATGGTCAGCGGTTCAAGCTCACCAGTCACTCCTCGGAAACCCTACACAGGGTCGCTATGGGTCTGAACCAACTCTACCACACTTAACAATAACAACAACACATATATACATGCACATATGTATATATATATATATATATATATATATATATATATACATATTTTTTTTTTTTTCCTTCTGGCAAACATGTATCAAGTCTTCAAGTTTGTGTTTAGTTAATTTGAAGATTTTCTATTGCAAAGTAATTACTTCATGGACCTCTAATTATCTTACATTCATCAAACCCATTTAACAAAATCTGAACTCCCTTCGTGAATCAGCTACCGTGCCCCATCATGGAATGTCCTTCCAATTGCTCATTTCAGTCACTGATATATTTTTCATCTTTATTTTCCAATTTCAAGGATTCTTTACAAAATTCTCTTCTCTTGTCCTGCCATCTGATTTATTTTGCTTTTCAGTTCTCAAACTTAGGTCTCTCCAACTTTAGAGTCCCATCCACTGAATTTGTAATATTCCACCAAGAAAAGCATCAGATCAATAAAAAGAAAGTGTCTTCCTTTACTAGGTGACATATTTCTCTCTGTGTTCTCTTTTCTCTCTTTTCTCCATTTATTTTCCCTCACAAGTTTCCTCCTTTG